CTGCCCCCACGCGACACTCCCGTGCCGTGGGTTATATTTCAGTAAATAAGAAGTCAGTGTATCAGCCTCTCTGAATTCTCTGCTTTCGTTTTTTAAGACATAAATAAACCACTAGCCCTTTTTGTTGCAGAGATAGAACGTGAAAGGCATGCATTATAATGCTATAAGAATATTCAGTTGCAGATCGTGCCTCCTCTTGGACGTGTCTTCCTGCATCAGGGGAAACCTCTTGACACCTTCGTGTGGAACCGGGAGGCCACTGCAAAACCCTGAGTGCAGAATTCGAATCGGGCACCTCAGGAGTCTGGACAGGGATCAAGTAGCTCCAGGTTCCATAGAGACATGCATAGGATGGAGACGCAGGGAATGATGGATAAAGGCGTCTGGACTTTGGTTGGGGGTGGGGAGGGAAGGCAGGAGGATTCCTAAAGGAAAGGCCAAGGGACAGCAAAAAGGGTTTCCCATCTTCTTTCTTTCTCTCCCTCCCAGGCAGCAGCAGAAAAATGCCTTTGAGGCCTTCTCCGCCATCTCCTCCAGGTGCTGAAAGGAAAAGAGTCACCATGCGGCCAGCTCAGGTACTGGGGTGGGGTTTCATTGGGAAGACGTGCGGTCAGAGGGCAGAGATACTTCTTTCTCTGTTGCAGAGCTGAGAGGATTGGGTTCCTTTTGCTTGATTCTGGTGCTGTCCACTGGGAAGGCAGAAGATGACCACCTGCTGTCTAGGGTGGCGTGTGCAGAGAATCCTTTGCAGCTTCAGGAAAACTATAGTTTTGTTAGGATGGATTCCAGAGCCAGGAGGCAACATGAGGGGAAGGCCTCAGCCTCTATGCCCTGTTGGCCACTGTTTGAGATGGGATGTGCAACTAGATGGACTATTGGTCTGAATATCGGGCTGTTCTTATGTTCTTAGATGTGCATGTGCAGAGTGGGCCTACCAACTCCAGGTGAGGTCCAAAGTTCTCCTGGTGCTACAGCTTATCTCTAGACGAGGGAGATCAGGGCAACCTCCACCATGTCCTGTCCCTCTGCTGAGCTCCCTCCTCCCATCCGCCCTTCCAGGGCACCACCCCCAGATCTCCAGGTGTTCCCCAAGCCGGAATTGGCAGTCCTAGTGGAGAAGGAGAATTTATTTTTTGTAGCTTGGAAGTCCTAGCTGACGTCTGGCGACCCCTAGTGGGGCATGGAGGCCAGGGACGTTCAGAGGTGGCTTACTATCCCTTGCCTCTGCATTATGATGACCCTGGTATTCCTTGGAGGTCTCCCGTCCAAGTACCAGCCAGGGTCGGCCCTGCTTGGCTTCCGAGATCTGATGAGATCGGGCTTGTTTGGGCTATCCAGGTCAGGGCTTGGGGAGCTGTATTTTGAGTCACACAGAATGTTTCTTGGCCTTGATGTTAAAACAAAAAAGGTGGGGTGGCTGATGTTATTGTTAGATGGTCCAGCAGAAGCCCAGTTTGCAGTGCTGGACAGTCTGAAGGTGGTACTTGAGGAGATTTTTTCACGAAGTTCACCTGTGCGTATCGAAAACTATCATGGGTTGTACTGAGGCATGCTGGGACAAAGACACAATGGCTGCTCTCCTCCTGGGAAGGCGATAAGGTCACAATCTGTTCTGAGCATCCAAACTTAGTTGTCCCTCATAAGGAACAGAGAACTAAATACAAATGTGCTTGTCTCCTGATAAGGACTCGCAGCTTTTATGGTTTTTAGTGAGACATAAAAAACTAATTTTATAACTTGGATCAAAATTACAAACAAGTTATATACTTCATAATATTAACTTATCTCTCAAACTGGTTCATCACCAATTTAAAAACTGTTCACCAAACACTTAAAACTTGAAGGGGTTGGATACATCTGAAAATGTAGTTCACACAATAGTGTATTTCCAGGGTGAAAGGTGTTTTTGGAGGAAATGGGGAGTATGAATATCTAACAGCAGTAATGCCTACAGATTTTGTCCCTTTCTGCATCATCAGGCCACGTGAAAAATGCACCAGCTAACTAGTTTTGAGGGTACTGTTAAAATCCGACATCCCACAGAAGAAAGGCCTGGGGTTCAACGATACACACAATGCCCACTGGAGCCCATTTCCCTGATGAGGCGCCAGGAATGAGACTTCAGAGATGCCCATGAAGGAAACAAAGTGGGGAAAGTGAGATTTGTCAATATTAATTTTTTTCAAATTCCTTTCAAGATATTTTGTAATTTCCTGCAGAACTCTGAACCCCTTTAAGGTCCCCTCAAACAAATGGCAGGTGGGTCATGGGAGGAGGAGGCCCCAACACACATCCAGTGCTGCTTTTATTGTTTGTATCCAATGCTGTTTTTATTGTAGGATGAAACGTTCTTTGAGATGAACCACCATTACACCTCTGTTGTTACCTAAAAGCACTGTTCTTAGAGGAGGGGCAAGTGATCAGAAATTTAGGATCTGTAGGGATTTTGAGGTACAGTTTTGCAGTGCAGTTTTTGTCAATGATCTCTCCCTAAGAACTGAAGATGACCCCTAGCCTGTTGCTTCAACTGATCTGCTCCTCTTGCTGCTAAGAATCAGCTCCCCAGACACATTCTGCTCGCCAGTCGGACATTCTGGCTCCTGTCGGCCAGACACCAACATACTTTTGTGTGCTGAAAGCTCCCTTGCTCCAGAAGGGCCTCCTTTTTAGTGGTGGAGCACCGATCTGGGATGGAAAGAAGGACCCCAATGGCTACTGGTCATGGTGACTGAGTGGAGCCTCCATATTTGGAGGCACTGATCCCCTGAACCACAGAGCCAGGAGAGGCAACCTCAGGGGAAGGCCTCGGCCTCTCTGCCCTGTTGTCGGCCCTCCAGAGGGACTGGTTGGTCACTGTATGAGACAGGAGGCGGGACTATATTGGACGGTTGGTCTGATCCAGCAGGGCTCTTCCAATGTTCTTACGAAGGCCTCGGCCTCTCTGCCCTGTTGTCGGCCCTCCAGAGGGACTGGTTGGTCACTGTATGAGACAGGAGGCGGGACTATATTGGACGGTTGGTCTGATCCAGCAGGGCTCTTCCAATGTTCTTACGAAGGCCTCGGCCTCTCTGCCCTGTTGTTGGCCCTCCAGAGGGACTGGTTGGTC